CTGCCAGCGGATCCAACTCACGACCAGGTGATGATCGGTTGACAGCTCCGCCCCTCTCTTTACCCGAGTGTCCGAGACACGCGGTCGAAGGTCAGATGATACGACAACAAAGTCGATCATCGACCTCCGGCCTAGGGTGTCCTGGTGCCACGTGCACTGGTGGACACCCTTGTGCTCGAACATGGTGTTCGTGATGGACAAACTGTGACTGGCACAGAAGTCCAACAACTGAACACCGCTCGGGTTCAGATCAGGGGGGCCGCTCTTCCCGATCACCCCTCTCCAAGTGTCACTGGCGTTTCCCACATGGGCATTGAAGTCCCCCAGGAGAATAACAGAGTCCCCGGGCGGTGCACCGTCCAGTACCCCTCCCAAGGACTCCAAGAAGGCCGGGTACTCTGCACTGCTGTTAGGCCCGTAGGCCGTCACAACAGTGAGAGACTTGTCCCCCACCCGGAGGCGGAGGGACGCGACCCTCTCATTCACCGGGGAGAACTCCAACACGTGGCGGCTGAGATGGGGGGCAATGAGAATGGCCACCCCAGCTCGCCGCCTCTCCCCGCGGGAAACACCAGAAAAGTGGAGCGTCCAACCCCTCTCAAGGAGTTGGGTTCCAGAGCCCAAGCTGTGTGTGGAGGTGAGGCCGACTATCTCTAGTCGGTATCGCTCAACCTCCCCCACAAGCTCGGGCTCCTTCCCCCCCAGTGAGGTGACGTTCCACGTCCCGAGAGCCAGCTGTTGTGTGTGCGGACTGGGTCGTCGAGGTCTCCGCCTTCGACTGCTGCCCAGTCCTCTCTGCACCATGCCACCACGGACCCCTCTGCAGGTGGTGGGCCCACAGGAGGGACTGCCCACGTCGTCCATTCGGGCTGAGCCCGGCCGGGCCCCGTGGGCTAAGGCCCGGCCACCAGGCGCTCGCCTACGAGCCCCGACCCCAGGCCTGGCTCCAGGGTGGGGCCCCGGCTGCGCCATGCCGGGCGACGTCACTGGTTTCGTTAAGTAAATCACTTTTGACTTTTTTTAAAGTGTATGTATTTCTCCATCCAGTTGCAGAAATATGATGCAATAGCTAAAATTAATAAGATTATGAATGTGGCTTTTCACTCATTCTGTCAGATAAGTATGCAGTGTTAGGAAATGATAATCGGAAATTAATGCTTGAGGGTGGAATAGAAAAGAGCAGATAGTGATTTACTTTTGGAAGCAGCACACATGGCATTTCCATAACCTTCTCATATCAGAGTGCACCTTATGTAAGGAGTGCAGTTGTAACGCTGGCAGGTACAACTTGGGAGTTGAGGACAGAAAGGCAAAGAAAAGGGCAGCACTTCTTCTGTGATGTGATAAGGAGCGAAGGCAACACAAGCTGCCGCAGCTTTCAGTGCTCCTCCACCGGTGTGCCGCCCCCTCCGAAGAGATGTGCCCCAGAGCAAGGCCACTTCAGCCTCCAAGCCAGGGGTCACCAACCTTTTTAAAGCTGAGGGCCGGGGGGGGCTATTATATGGTTGAATTTAAACCAATCGCACATTTGGGAAATTTTACAGTACAAATATGCAGTTTATAGACCCTTAAGACTTTTTTCTTTCAACCAAATTACCTAATTGATTATTTACCCGATAAGCGATTGGTTGTTTGGATTCCAAAGGTCAATGAATATGGGATTTTTCATACAGTTGACCAAATCAAAGATCCTTCTTGAGAACATCATCATAGAGATGACTTGTTACTCATTGGGTTGTTGAGGATGTAAATACATTCTGCAGTCATTATAGAATAGTCACAAAACCTGTTCTCTGCATGTTTAAGCCTATATTTATCAATTACTAAATCAAATAATTGATTATTTGGGATTGATTGTTTATCCTTTTTCTTTGTCCTGAATCTTTTTTAAAAACAAATTGGAATCATTCTTTGCTATTTTAAAACTCACACAGTGCTTGGGCTCACCTTTGTCTTGACCACCAGCCACTCTGAGCGCAGAAGAAGAAAAAAGCAAATATACAGGAGATATTTTAAGAACAGGCTACTGCGTACAGCGTTGGTGACCCCTGCTCCAGGCAAACAAGTCCAACAAACACACTAGCTAACAGAGACATTTCATCTGAATTGCCCATTAAGTAACTTGTATTGACCTTCATTTAAACAGGAAAAGCCTACTGATATTTCAGATTTTTTTTTCATGCGAGTCCCTACCCCAGAGAGAAGGGAGCATTTGCCATGATTTTAGTGGTAGGGTAAACCGGAGCACCCAGAGGAAACCTACGCAGACACAGGAGGAACAAACAAACCCCACTCAGAAATTCCCAGTTCCCATTCAAACCCTATATCAGGACCTTTTTGCTGAGAAGCTGGCATGCAAACCACTCGGGCATTGTACCAATCACATCTGGCACAAGGCCTTGTTGAAAGAAAATAAAATGCTAAAAAAAAAAACTGAAACAAGACACACTGTGAACGTTAGAGTAAAGTCTGTTTGTGTTGTTGATTTTCCGATATTCAACAGTGCTAGGTAAATACTGCCTACAAAACGTCTTGCTTGTTATTCAAAGTGTTAAGTAAATTCCAATGTTCACAGTGACAGGACATAAATGATCCTTATTTGCTGTCACATCGGATCCTCACCAGTTAAAATGGGAGTTAATGACTTTGAGCTGTGTGCGTGCACTCTTCACCGTCCCCATGTGAACACGCTGCACACGTCACTTCACATCATCACGCATGCACTGGCTCAGAAACACCATGCTGCTCCTACTCCGCACTCCACACTATCAACCCAGATCTGAACCACTTCGGGTGCCAAATCCAATCAAGGCACAGACCCAAAGGAATGTGCAGAGTTTAATTGTTAGAATGCGTCTTCTCATAACAGACTGTGGTTTGAATGTTCACCCTTAAACCCAATCGTTTGCAATTCATTCAAAGCTTTGAACAGTGACCAGCAATATTTCCCCTTGCCAATGTTTGAATGTGGTTTGTAGTGAAGATTCAGTCACTCAACTCCAACGCGGCTGTGGCACGGTCAACATGCCATATCCTGAAAAAAGGAAGTAGGTTTAGGTTTTAATGCAGTATTAACATGCAAGGGAAAACTATTGACTGTAAATATTAACGGATGATGTCACGCCTATTTCTGCCATTGATGTGCCACCGCTTTTGCCTTCTATGGGCTTTTTCAAAATGGCCGTATGGCAGGAAATTGTGAGAAAACGCAAGTGCGCATGCATTAGCCCCATTCATTTAACGAGTGCATTCAAAAGTCCACAGAGGCTAAACTAGACTGGTCCCCCCAAAAAAAAATAATAAAGAGCCGACTTTTGCCCTTCCTGTGAAGCCGTTTTTTGACAGGAAAGAAGACAGCATACAAAAGCATTGGGTAATTCTCTTTCCGCGTACAGGAGTAAGGAGTGGTTTTGCAAGCATGTCAGCGCACATGCTCATGGAACATTTGGACCCGGAACCTGCCCCTGCTGGGATAAACTTATAGATTATGTAATTCTAGCACGGAATGGGCCAAAAATCCAGCCTTAAGACTCAGTCTTAAGTGGCTGACTTCTGTCATTACCAACAAAGGTTGTATAACAAGTATTGAGATGGACTTTTGTTATTGACCAAAAACATTTTTTTTTTTAAACTGATCTTATGGAACCTTTTTCTGATATTTTTTTGCATGCCTATGATTGAAAATACAAGCATCTCTAACATTTTTAAGTGGGATGTGTCATGTGGTGGGAAGGAGGAGGACTCAAAATGCGAGAATGCCAAAATAATGATTTAATAAAATAAAGTCCAAGGTAAAAAACAGAAATAACCAGGAACAGACTGAAGACATGAACAAACAAGACAGACGTTGACAATACAATGGACTAGAAACAAGGGGAGAGAAGCAGAGGGTACATATAGACACAGACACAGGTGAAACACATCAGGGCGGGGCAGACAATCAAGACTGGGGAACAGGACAGGAAGCAACTAAAACCAAACCACAGAAAACCAATTTCAAAATAAAACAAAAATACAAAAATAAAATCCACACCATGACAGGACGACTCGCATAATTGGTGACTGACCAAAACACCTTTTGCCCGTCTGTATACTAGCTATTTTGAGCAAATGGAAAAAGGCACACCATTGACCACAGCATACATGTCCTCTTCCTGTTCTTCTACTTATCTACTCCTCAGAGTTAATTTGCTCGTCTGTAACTATAGGCGCCCCTCACGGCCTTCAGCACATGTCTGTCAAATGTCACTGAAACGTCAATAAAGTGTGGGGCACAACGCTCCATAGCGTGTTAGTGTTTATGCTGCCCGAGGACCCACGGACGCTCCACTCGTACAAATAAACTGCCATATCTGTCATCCTACAGTACCTGCTGCTCAGTCTCATGCAGCGGACATATCCACTCCCCTGTGAATCCAGGCTCGTGGGGTTGGGCCTTGTGTGTGTGTGTGTGTGTTTGTGTGTGCGTGTATTATCAAAATGCCGTGGGACTGCCTGCCAACCTTGTCTCTCTGTCTCTCCGCCGCAGTGAATGAGTCGAGATGACTTGTTTTTGTTTTTTAATCTGCAGCTCGTCCTAACACACTGCTGTTCTAAAGTGAACAATTATTGATTTGTCCATGGCTCCTGATTTCACAATGGTTTATAACAAAAGGCTAACAAAAAGATTAATTTCAATTTTGTTTCATCCTGTCATTTTGTTTCTATTTGTTACATTATGAAACAATCTCCTTGTGTTTTCTCCACTGGTTTGTCTCTTTAGTTCCATCTCTTGTAAGCCTCTGTATTTCCTGTCTCTACTCAGTACACTGTTTGTCCAATCCGAGTATTTTGCTGATGTTTTAACTCATGATTCTGTTAAAGTGTAGAGAACCACAGTTGTAGCCCCTGAGGCTGGGGTCGAGACTGGCCTGGTCTCTATACTTATTACTGTCATCTGTACATGCATGCCTCTGGGCGTGCATGTCCACCTGACAGTGCTGTCTGCACCTGTACCAAACATGTGTCTTTTTCTGCTCATCAGTGAGTGTACTTTAGTTTGGCTGTTGTGTTTCTGGGCACTAATGATATCAACATGTGCCATGTGATGCAGCCGTAGCCATAAGCATCACTTGTCAGTCTAAATTGCACTCACTGGTGTATGGAAAAAACATATGCTGTTTTGCCGTTTATGTCTTCATATAAATTATACAGGTATAATTTATACCATGTTTAATGTTGGTTTTGTGCACTCCCAGAAAAGCAGGTTCCCCATTGAATGTTTGTCTCTTGGACAGTGAATACTGCGCTGGCCTCAATTCACTTTGATAGATACTATTTGATTAAAGACTTTTCCCCCATGGGTATTGTGAGTAAATTGAGTCCAATGCTTGCTGTCCCAGTAACAGATCGAGGTCCAATGTGGAATGTCTGTTCTCTGTGAGTGTATTTGTATAAATTATAAATGTATAATTTATGCTCTGTGCACAGCGCAATCCATGTGTCTTTAACTGTTACACAGTAAATCAGTCCTTCAATAACAGTCAGATGTGCGATCAATGAAAAGATTCTAAATTTATTATCACATCTGATAATTGTATGTTTTTAAACTATCAAAATTGATTTGTTGATTTCAAAACCTATTTGGAAATACTCAAAATTCCTTGGTGGTGATTGGAGGAGATGAGAGCGGAGCTCTGGGATTGGTGGACATAGACAGAAGTTGTTACTGGCATTTTTAGAATCTCTGAGTGTGACAGGAACTGCAGCCTAAGGCCTAAACATCATGATTCTAACTGGCTTTTGCAAATTCATTCAAATGAATCTATTGGGTTTATCCATATTCCCATTTATATGCTCTGTATCTAACATATAATTCAGATCCATTGTCCGTGTAGCCTTTGATCTGACAGTACATTTCATAAAAAGTCATACATTGCTAACAAAATGCTTCATAAAATAACCTGCTGAACGGAGAATGTATCGACTACTAAAACTGAAGTGCAGTCATGTGACAGCGGGAGAGAGAGGCGGGGAGTAGGGCTGGCTGACCTGTTAAGCACCTGAGAAATTATCATAGTCACATCAAACATGATGTTTAATCAATTTGAATTATTTGCTTATTGACTGCAATAGTCATACATTATTAGAGTAAATCTAAATATTTTTTTTCAAAATATTAAGTCCGCACCTCAGTCCCTCCTCCTCTCCCTAACCCAGGTTTTCTATTTGTCTCTCTGATTTGATTGACAGCTGAGGACACATGTGGGGGCACTGTGGGGGGCGGCAGTGGGGTTGTGACCAGTCCCGGTTACCCCAACAACTATGGTAATCAGGCCGACTGTACTTGGATCCTATTGGCCGAGCCTGGAGACACCATCTCTGTCATCTTTACAGACTTCCAGACTGAGGAGAAGTATGACTACCTGGAGGTGGAGGGCTCCGAGCCACCAACTGTTTGGTGAGTCGTCTTCTTCTTCTCTTCCGATGTGGTTTTGCAGAATGTGTGTTTGTGATTGAAAATGCGCTTTTTTGTTTCCTGGAGATAGTTTATCCAGCTTTAAATACCTTAGCTTGAGCAGGAGATGGCTTATAACAGTTATTGAAACACAACAGTTTAACACACACCAACACGTTATGCACAACGAGCACAATGTGTGATGGGATATACTGATGGTTTGACTGATGGATCACTAAACGAGACGCGTGTGAGAGGAGAGGAAAGATGGATGCTTAAGCTGTAGTTGTGAGTTCACTTATAGAAAGGAGTTGTCCTCTTTATGTTCTACCAAGAGAAAAGCTAAGACGATGGAGGTGAATCTTTCTCTGCAGCTCTGGTCACGCTGCTCACACGTCACAGCGGTGCTTCTGTCACACGCAGCAGAAATGTGACTGTACGCCAGAGACGCAGAGGCATGTGTGTTTAGTGTGGTACAGTTTTGTGTTGTAATCGTGCTGCACCCGCTGTGTGTGTGCACTAGAAGGACTCAAGAAGGAGAGGCCTCTTTTGTTGCACATTCGTCTCGCTCTGTTGGCCTTGAACAGACTTATTTTGGAGACAACAAGTAGCTGCTCTCGATATGGGGTAGGCATGTATTATTTATCTGTATGATTATATTATTCAATATTCTAGACCAGCACAGCAGCCAACAGTCTCTAATAGTTTTAACATCTTCTCACATCTCTTTTGCTCCCGCCCCATTCAATATTTCAGCGTTATTGTGCAGAATAATGCATTAATGAATGCAATCACTACACTTCAATCAACATTTCTCCCTGATCCACTGATCACCACCAGATAAGTGTCCACCCAGCCAACTCATAATGCCATTATAAAAGATGCAGGATGACAAACGCTGACGATGAAATCAACAAATGAGAAAGTCCATTGTCTCCTTTTTCTCCTCATGAACAGTTCTTAAGAGAATTGAGAAGAGTTCTACTCAAGTGATCTCACAGAATTCTTCCTTAAAATCTTTTTTCATTGATAAGTCGCTGTGATGACAGAAGTTGCTGCGTAATAATGGCGCACATGCGTCCTTGAGGTTCACAAAGCGGCTGCTTTCTGGTAGTTTTAGAGGAAATAAGGGTAAATTCACACAAAACTTCACACTAGTTTACTGGAGCGCAGAAAATTTACTGATGCAGATTCCCAACCTTTTTAATGTTCGTTATTCCTCCAACCCTTTTGGGGGAATGACTCACTTTCTATTGACCAACCGCCACCAGATCAATTTTTTTCAGGAAGTTTTTCAATCTTTTCTTCTATTGTTTATATCACAGAACAATCACCAATTCAAGATAGTTAGCCAATTAGCGGCTCCATGCTGTGTCCGATGCTGAGCATGGTGAATTCCATGGTTAGCTCATAACAATATTTTACTGCTGTGCCTGTTTATCGATCAGTGCTAAATTAAGGTATTGATCGGTCATTGCTGTTGCTGTTACCACTTTAAATCTCATCATGGACTAGGACATTAGTGTGTGCATTAGTAATTGATTTGGAAGTAATAACACCCAAGAAACCGTTTAAGTGTTAAGACTGCACAGGTTTGTCTATTTAGTCCCAGTGGTTATTATTGATACAAGGATTGTGTAATGATGTGGAGACATGCTGTCGTCAGTTTGATGTTTATAAAAAATGTGCAGAGAAGTGAAGGGAAATATAACAAGAATGCAATCACATGCAAATGCATCACATTTAAGTTAATTGGAAAGTAAAAAATCAAACTGAAATTGTATTTCTGAAGTGAAGGCTGAAGTAAAGCTTTAACAAGAAACTGAGAGGTTTCCGTTACACGTTCATTCTCTAGTGGCTTTTATGAACAGACAAAATGCAAACTTAAATAAAACATACATTAAATACCGGTGAGTGTTAAAAGCAATATTATCACTATTGTCACAAGCTCCTTTTGATCAGCAATTTCAGTCTTTAGTTCTGAATGCACATATATGAAGGGTATTGGGGGTCGGACCACAATCTCATCCTGCTTTCCTATTATCACCTCATAACCTCATTTTCTTGCTTTACAACTAATCCCCTGATTACATTACATTAGTGGTTCAACGCAATGTCGGTCAATCGCACATAACTTTGGACCATTTCAATTCTTAAACAAGTTTTACCTATTTTTTATGTAGTTTTGGCTCCATACTACGAAAACCCTGGAGGTGTTAAGTGAATATTTATGGTTAGTATTTAATGTTCGGGGACATTGTGAGCCCTGTGCATGATTTAGCCTGACTGCTGTCTTGGCTGGACCGAGACGACTCATGTATCAAAACTACTATCAGACTATTTCTTGGATGAACTGTGGGCTTGAGTCACTTCCAACTCACAAGGTCATGCTGGTGGTTCGTCTGTAGAACCAATTCATCTTTCTCTACGTAGAGGATCGTTGACATTCCAGGAAGCAATACTAAAAGTCCAAGTTGACATTCACTTGTATGAGTTTTTTAGCTTGTTTTTTTGCCAAGGCAACAATCATTAATCATATATCAGCAAAAAATACTAAGAATTTACTGCATTTACTCACTCAGATAGCTCTTATAAACGTCTTGCTTTGGATTGACAGTCTGCCACAAAACAAGTTGCACTTTTTAATAGTTAAGTTTTATTTTAGATTTTATTTTATTTTATTCACTCATTTGAGGAGAAATTCTACAATCATACGTATTGACAAAATTTACATTCCTTATTTTACACGAGCTTTTGTACATGGACATATAAAAATATAAATTACGATCAAGAAAGATTATTTTCCCTAGTGGCACCTCGTGTTGAATAATTACTATTTCAATATGTATTTACAAATGCACTTCAATTACAATTTGTCGGCTCGAAATGCAGCGTGAAAGATGTGAAAATAACGTGTAGACTCCCACCCATAAACATAACTCAAATACATGCAACAATGTTTTTTGTAGCATTGAATAAATTATAACTTTATGAAAGATTGTCGCGTTCAGAGCGATTTTTTGCACTTTAATAAAGCTACATCTGAAAATAAATGTTATCTATTTATTGAGTAGATATTGTTTTATCTCTCTATCTTCCTATAGCCACCTGCTTTCTAAAGCCAAAACATTATAGCCACAAAAAATTAACCTTGTAAATTGTTGTATTTAGACTAATCAAAACAACGTTTATTTGACACTGTGAAAAGTGCACCATCACTGCAAATTGGGCAATTTTGGCCGTTCAGCCGTCATTTATAAATCATCGTCTCAATTATATAAAGAGTAGTTAATAATGAAAAAACAAAAGGTTACACTGGGCTCAAAGTGAAGACTGGTCTGGAGCAACACAGAAGTCTGCTGGTACTGCTGTAACACCCTGTAAAAGGTTGCATAAGAAACTGCTTTAAAACTAAAGAAAGCCAAGGTGAGACTCATCAAGCTTGAAGATGCTTGAAGATGCACAACTGTACTTTGCGGACCCCGTCAAGGCTTCTTTAACATGTTAAATATATACTTTTTTTCATTTAAGAGAACAAAAGTTACCAGGTAAAATCGATAGGCAATTTACATGATTGAACCAGAGGGACTTTTACAATGTGACTTTAAAGCCAAATAGACTTTTTTCCCATTATAGCGGTTGATCAAATTGATTAGGGAAACAAAACAAGATAGATTTTTGAGTTTATTACTACAAGAGCTAGTTCCTTCCAGTCATGTGTTCCTGTTTTCCCCAACTTGCTGGGTTGGGTAATTGTGTTGGCAATTCATATTCAGCAGATTTCATTTAAAGTAGTTTCAGTGGATCAGTTTTAGTCGGCACATTGAAATGCATCCCACCACACACAAAGCATATTATTCCCATTATATTTCTAATTATCCATACATTTTCTTCCTCTTAATCCATTTCTGGGTCAGGGGGTGGCAGTCAGAGCTATCACCCAATTCATGGCTTCTGTCAGTGATCTCTCTGCAGGGGCTTCAGGCAAAGTGGGGTTAAGTGTCTTGCCTAAGTAAGTAAGTAATCTTTATTTATATACCACCTTTCACAGACCAGAGTCACAAAGCGGTTTACAATTGTTATTTTTGGGCATTTGTCTCTCACTCCAGACAGAGATGGGAGCGGGGTCGCCAGTACAGGAGGCGCATGTCAGAACTATTGTGCATGTTTTTAGTGGTAGGGGAAACCGGAGTACCCGGAGGAAACCTACGCCGACACGGGGAGAACATGCAAACTCCACTCAGAAAGGCCCTGGTCCGATTGGGATTCGAACCCAGGACCTTCTTGCTGAGAGGCAAGAGTGCCATCCACTCAGCCACGTTTCCATTCAACCTGTGGATTCTGTCCAGGACAATGTTTAAGTTTAACAAAATATTACAATCCTTTTATCCTTTTGAGGCTGAAGCTGTTTTTGCTCAGTGATAGAAGGATGCAGAGCGCCGGTTTATCAAATTCAAGTAAAATCTTTCTTCCTTCAGTCCTGGGTTGTATCTGATTCAGCCGTGGTTAAGTCCTACTTTAAATTACCATAAACGTTTTAGGGTGAAAGCATACAAGCAAGTTGTTCCGCCATTTTCAGACACAGTTTATTCTTGGGTTTTGTTTTTGGATAAAGTTGTCAATGTTTTTTGATTGATTTCCTCCTCCCACTGAAGGGCTGGGTCAGTGGGGCTGCTCTCTGATTGGTTGATGCCAGAAATGTTACTGTTCATCTCTCTCACATAGACTCTTTCAGCCCAATCACCGTCCCATAGATTTGACATGTAAACCTTATGCAACGCTTGGTCCAGATTTAGTCTTTTCCAGCTGGATTTACTGTAGGGAGTTCTTCTTTTTCTCATCTTTATATCTGCCTTTTTTTACAATTACTTTCCCCCCACCACATACTAGTTTGTGTGTTAGCTCCTTATGAAATACTTGCTAATTGGCCCTCTCAATACTGAAAAAGATGCATTTCAGAGTTAATTACCAACATGGTCCATCATCTCGGTTTTGTCCGTTGCATCC